AATGAATTTTGAATAGTATTTTTAGGAGAATGTGTGGTTAAAAAATAGGAAATTTTTTTTGATTCACGTGTAGAATATTTATTATGTAAATGTTTGGTCGAAATCTTGTGGATTTGAAATCATAAAATAAATAAGCAAATCATAAAATCATAAAATTTCTGGTTGAAAATGTTTGGTCCAAATATAAATGCTTTATGATTAATAAACTTTTTTTCACAAATTATATTTCACAAAAAGAGTTTTAAAGAATACTTTAATATCATTACCAAAATCATCTATTTTGGAGTCTTTCTGTTTCATAAAATTTGATTAATTTAAAATGCTAAATAAATATATTCAGCTCCGTGATACAAAAAGCTAATAATAATCCATCCTTCTGCTTGTGAAATAATGAATCTTTCTCTTTGTTTTAACTTAGAAAATTCATCAACTATTTCAAGTATTTTTTCTGATTATTTTATTTTTATGAGCGGCAAAATAGTATAGACATCTTGGCATTTGATCGTTGAAGAAAACCAATTCCTAAACATTATATTATTAACCTTAATAGTTCAGTCGCACTTAAGAGGCTACCAGAAAAGTGACACTTATTCTTTCAAAGCACGGCATTGGATAGTACAGCCGCCGAACTTTTCTTTCAAAGCATTGGATACAATGGGTCAAGAAAATATGAAGTTAACGTGTTTTCTTTTTCTCAAAATTGACTGGCAATAAGTTTGTGAAAAATGTCAAAGATGGCTTAATAATTGAAGAGCGAAACAATGGAATTTTGAAAAATTGGTAAATGTTAATCTTATCCATCCAACGTAGCACATGAACAAATTCTCACAAATGATGTCAAGGCGGAGCCACAATTTTACTTTGTTGGACTAGAGTTTTAAAAGATTTAATATACTAATAACATATATAACTGAAAAATTATAATATGACATTATCTACAGAATCGTAAGGCTGATCAAGTGAAACACCATATGTTGCAGCACCATAAAATTAGATAAACCGAAAGGGAAATCCATGCAGAGAATATGTAATCCATAATGATTTCAAATTGTGCGTGACATTGGAGCAATCAAGTTTGAATCCGCAAAAACATTTCTAAAAAACTTGTAAACATTAAATTATTAACTATAAAACAAATACTAAAAACAACACATGAGTGAATCATGGAATCAACAAAAAGGTTATATAAAAATGTAAATATTGATACATCTGGAAGCCATTCAAATTATATCTTTTCATGAAATATTATACCACAATTTTTCTGAATTTTTGTTAAATCAATATTTTTTTTCAAAATTGTTGAAAAGTTTGAAATCAAGAAAAATGAACAATATATGGTTGAGAATTTGAAAATCGAAATTGAATCTGAGCAAATGAATACGGGCAAGAAATGTGAAAGTGGAATTAGAAATATAATTTAAATTAAGTTTGGGAATTGAAATTTTAAATTAGAAATGAAAATTTCGTCATTGAGAAGGGTTATGAGTATAAGCGCTGTGTTAAATGTGTTGCACTTGGCCAGGAATCGAATGAAATAATTTAAATTTGTACGGGACTACAATTGATTTGATATGGACTTAGAATAAGAAATAGAGGGGAAATT